CTAATACAATATGACTGCACTGTTGCTGCTCTAAAGCACCAATTACCGGCACACTAAGTTCACAAAATTGTCAGCACGTTCAAATGTTAGGTTCCGTGGGTCAAAAACCTAGTTGTAGTGGTATTCTGGGACAGGTGGTCGCCGTAGCAGATTGGTGGCCACGACAGGTTTTGTACAGTGTGCACGGAATACTACATTTCTAGTATTGGTTGATTTATATTGTAGAGTAGTGCAGACAGGGCCCTGCAGCACTGCGCAATGAAATACGATCACACGAGTCAAGTACGCCCCTTGCACCAGTGCATTTTTTTAGTTTAAAAAAATTAAAAAAGGTCTTTGGAAAATAGATAAATAAACAAACAAAAAAAAGGACAGCGTTGACGGGTCTTGGGCTGCATAGCGCCTCACACATGCTTGACTCGCGTGATCAAAACTCATTGAGCAGCACGGCACTAGGACACTCTCTGAAGGAAAGAAAATAGGACCAACAACATAGCCTTCACCCGTGTGTGGTCAAATTTAGCGCTGGTTTTCTTTTTAGTCTAGTAAGGCAAAAAGGTGCTAAGAGCACGTGATCCAGAGACCAGTGGCAAGGAGTTTACCTGGTATCGTGCCTCCCATCTCAGTGCCAGTCTCTTGGCCTGCAACAGACTGTAGGGAGAGCTGCTTATCCGACGACCTGTAACACGCACACACACACACACACACACACACACACACGCACATGCATGCATGCATGCACACACACACACACACACACACACACACACACACACACACACACACGCACACAGAGGACGCCACCCATGGCCAAATACGTGTTTAGTTTTGACACACTCAGTGACTGATACACACCGTAGCTCGCAGCAACAATCAATACTTTGCCCGTCCTAATTACTAGTATGGAAAGTCTGGCCGAAATGCTAAGTTCCTTATCTTTGATTTTATGACTTCAGAAATGAAGAGAAAATTTTGCACGGCCATTCTGAAGAGGTTTTCCAGGAAATATTATTGCTGTCCAGGTTTTGCGGTACTGTAAGGGTTGAATCTCTAACCAGGACCGGCGGAAGCAGTGTTTGATTGGTCGGGCTATACCATAGCCTTTCATACTGTTTGTGTATGATGTGGCGGGTACTAGTATACACATGAACTCTTCAGCCGTAAACAGGTGTTGGTGGCCACAAAGTAACGTTGTAGTCAGTCGGGCCGTGGCCAGACCAACCGGACAGGTTCCGCCGGGCTTGCTAACGGCGCACAAAGTCTAACGTATTAACAGAAAAATCCATCGTTTAACAACTCAAGAAACGTTACTGGAGTGACATGCCTTCTCTCTTCTGTACTACAACAGAATAGAAGACATGTGTATGATGGCAGGGCCGTTGAACTTTGTGCCCAGCAAATGGGGAAATTTTGCAAATCATTAAACTTTAGACTCATCACACTTTCAACTCTCACAGTAAATCAATTTGAGTGAAAGAGATAGTCCAGGTTTTCGTGGTGATTCGCGCAAACCCCAAGCCCATCACTTTCAGAATCGACTAGAATCCCTGTAGGGAAGTGCTGCTACTCATAGATTTCTAAATATAGACATGTAGTGCATTGTTATTCAGGCGCGTGCTTGGCGATGGGCACGGGGGGCACGTGCACCCCCCAAATATTTTCAATCTGGGTAATTGCAATTGTAATGTATGCAAATATGCTCTAAAATTCAAGAAAGGTTGCAAACAAATTGCAGAAAATTGCCGGGGGGGGGCTCCCCTCGGCTCCCGTGCACCCCCCTAGTTGGGGGGCCGAGCACGCCCCTGTTATTGTTGGGTAGAACCCAGAGTATATGAAAAGAAAATGGCTTTCATGTACTCTTGATAGAGCTGACAGTTGATTGGTCAGGAGCTGTAACCTATTACAAAATCAAAGTCGAAGGTGGAACGCTGGAGCAATCAAAAGTTCTGTATGAAAGCGAGCTCTGAGAGAATGAGGGGCTGGCTCTATGCTGCATAAAATTATAATTTGAGCATTCATTTCAACTACTAGTTCGTCTGAAATCTGCAATTTCCAGAACACTTGCAAAATGCGCCAAGTAGGGTACTAACCAGTTTGCATTGAAGGGCGTGCTCTGGTCAGCAACCTGGAATCCGCAGAACTCAGCCCTTCCTCGTCATCTTCCATGGCCCCGGCGCCTCCTTCCGTGCGGACGCAATGCGACGGCCAACCTCAAAAACTATTGTACTGAAGTGATTTCGCCTCTGGATTTCACATGAGACGTTTTCAATGCTGCGACTATAGAAAAAGCTGGCTAGCTCGTCCGGTCAAGCTCATGCATGAGAGAGACCTAGTTGCGACAATACTGCACAACTCCAATGGACCTGAATGGTTTGTATTGTAGGAGGAGATGATTCAATGAACAAGGGATCGAGCTTATGGCATAGAAAATGACGCCCTTCAAAATTGTGTTTCCAAGTACAGATCTCGTAGACTCCACGAGTGGTTGTGCTTGTCGCCATTCGAATAGTGACGCCCCGGGCGTCCGCAAGGGGTAACCCCGAAGCTCAAACTAAAGTCATAGTACTACGGTCGGTACGCGGTATGCGCGAAGCCGTCCGGAGTTCGTGACCATGCGTGCTAGCGCTGTGCATGTGACGTGACGCGACTTTTCGATGACAGACGAATCAAGAGACAGCCTAGCCAGCGCGAGGTGCTATCGCAGAGTGGCATTGAAACGAGACTACATGAGTCGATGACATGACATGTCGACATGCAGGCCCTCAGTCCTAGATCCTGTCTTGTCAATGGTCGGTCTCCTGCCTACTGCCTGGTACGTAGAGTCTTGACTGTCTATCTCACTCCTCAGTACCTGGTATCGATCACTGACTGTCACTTGTCTGCAACATGAGTGTGGTGGATTCAGGAGAGGAAATCTCTGAGTTGCTTCTCATTCCTACTCAAACTTCAAAGCCGGGTAGGATACCATGGATACTGTCTGTTGTACATCATGGACATGTGAGATCTACATGTAGGAACCCAAAGCCAAGGCAAAGTCTGCCGGAACTGTCAGTATGTTACATGTACATGTATTTCAAAGTGTTACTGTTAGATTCTGCTGCGCCTCATGATTGTTAGTTCAGTATCACAATGTGACTTGTCAATTAATTATTTGTATCCACAATGTTTACCCTCAGTACACGTATGGCGCGTAACGTTAGCCATCAGTGCCGGGTGCCATCAGATCTTGCACCACTTCTCCGTGTGTTGTTAGCACCAGGGCCTAGGGAGTCGTACCCAAACCAGGCCGTTTGGGTACGACTCCCTGGTTAGCACTTCGCACGTCTGTCACCGCAAAACGTGGAATCGCACTTCTTTGTGCTCACAGTTATCCTCAAGTGTAAATAGTGCTGCTAAATACTTTGCAAGTCTAGGCATTCACTCAACCGGCTTCACTGATGATACCGGCTCAATGATCAAAACAGCGCTGTATGGAGGACATTTTTATTTTGTCAGTACATGTATCTACACTCATCAACTTGGAGTCCTGTTGTGTTGCTGGTCACAGCTGGTGTGATGAGGTCGGCCAGAGAGCGCATGGTGTGGAGGTGGAATTGCTTCATTGATAAACAGGCCCAAAGCTGCTGCTGCTGCTTACCCTTTCAGTCCATGTAATCGTTATTATTATCATCAAATTTTTCATAGGGCAATCCCCATAGGCCTAAGGCCTTCCTACAGGGTACCCTAGAAATGAAAGTACTGAATTACGGAATAGGTGCAGTGAAGAGCATAAGCGGACTGCAGCGGGGAGTGCATTCCATGTACTAAGGAGTGTAATCATTTACATGTCAGTACATGTACAATATTTAAAATATTTTTAGTACAATCATGTATTCCGCTCTTTGCCCTCGACGGACGGTGGATGAACCGCATATAGGCGATCTACATGACATTGTAATCTATTGTAATTTTGTTGAAGTCTCCCGCCGAGCACTTGGTGACTTTAGGACTATGGCGGATATAGGGGTTAGTATCACTTAGTCTTTACACTGACTGTATCGAGACTATTATCCCTCGCCGGCCTAGCCTGCTGCTGGAGAAATATTTGCTAAACTTTGATGGTGAGTGAGACTGTGGCTTTTTTGTTGTCATGGTCGGTAGATCTACGGGTGGTCGTTCCTTGTGCTCCCGAATGCCGCAGACTTTCAGATGTTGCTTACCCTTTTAAATAAGTGTCTAGTACTTTTGATCGGTTGACGGCATGTTACAAGGCGGAGAACGCACTGTGTTGAAAACAGTGCTCCTGTCCTGACTACCACCGGCAATCATTATCGTGGCAGAGCCCCGGTCTTTGCGACCATTTGAACCGTATGGGATCTCGCCCTAGGTTTTGCGTAAGAGTTACAGTGGCTGTCAAAATCAGTAACCCCCGATGAATCGACACTATTAATAGCGACTCACTCTGCATCTGTCACCGTCTTCATGATTGTACTGAAGACTGAAGTACATCATTTTTGTGTGTGATTGACTGATTGTACATCATATTTCAGTCTGTGGGGATTGCCCTAGAAAAATAATAAATACTACTACTACTATTTCCGAAGTGCCGTCAAACAGTGGACAGATAGGCTCTAGCTCTGTGGTTGACAGAGTTACATGCACAACTCCGAGTTGCAACCACAGAGCCTGTCTGTCCTGCACTGTTTTACTGTTCTATGCTCTGCCTCCACGGCGTGCGGAGCACTCTTTGGGCACTGTCACCATGGTCACCACTACAGGAAACCAGTCCTGTACAGAGCGCCCATCAGTGCATCACTCATCAGAGATTCTGCTCTATACTTAGCGTCCATAAGCTGTTCCGGCTGTTATCGTTACGAGCCACCAACAGAGTTGTTTGCCACACCATGTGCCAGCAGACTATTGTCTGTGAGTATTGAGTCCTGTATCGACGTTACGTGGTCGAATGGCATGACTGTGTCGTACATGTACAAAAACTAGGTCTACTACTTCCTAGAGAAGATTGGACTACGAGTCTATGACACCTACAGTGACTGCCATCCATCCTCCAGCATGCATTGAGAGTTGATTATGCTGGGCAAACCACCCTACTAAAGTCTTCTTTCTGTATTAAAATTTGCTTTTCTAATCCTATTCACCAGGCTGTGTGACATGCATTGTTCCGGCAACACTTACTCAGCCAATCACCATTGAACAGTGTGGCCACAGCTTTTGCAGGTGGGGCACATTGATGCAGCCCGGGTGTGTGTGCGGGGGGGGGGGGGGGGTTGTGATTTGCGAGTGCATACACGTGTGAGTGTGGTATAATGATTATGTGGTTGGTTGTAGAAAGGTCACTGTTTCCGAACACTGTGTCCTCCACCTCAGTTGTTACATGCTGTCAACCAGGGAGTCGTAAAATACCTATTTTACGACTCCCTGCTGTCAACCAACAACACGTGTGAGTGTGTATTGTATGATAAAACTATGACATACACCATGCGTCCCCACACCTCAGTAGTTGTGATCTGCATACCTCACCATCATACTCACACCATAGTAAGACCAATAGAGTGCTATTCCCCACCTGACCCGTCCATAAGGACCATAACAGCATATCACCTCCAACCACTCGTTATCCTTGCTATACATATAAAGGCCTACTAGTATTTTTCCCTGCGCTGTTACTCACGGTTTGAATGTTTTGCCTGAGGATCATACTTATACATGTGGCTTGAAACTCGAGCAGCAAACAAAGCCGGCTAATTCTGCATTCTGTGTGTGAATACTTTGAAGTATCACCTGTTGACGGATGGACTTCAGTTCAGTCCGAAAGTTAGTACTGCAGGGCGTGTGCAGTGTTTGATCTTCCACAGTGCATGCTTGAAGCTGCATGCGTCAAAGGTGTGTGTGTGAATACTTCGCCAAGTATCGCCTGTTAATGGATGGACTTTAGTTCAGTCCGAAAGTTGGTATTGCAGGGCGTGTGCAGTGTTTGATCTTCCACAGACTGTCAGTGCACGCTTGAAGCTGCATGCATGTGTCAAGGTGTGTGTGAATACTTCCGGAAGTATCACCTGTTGACGGATGGACTTTAGTTCAGTCCGAAAGTTAGTAAGTTAGTAGTGCAGGGCGTGTGCAGTGTTTGATCTTCCACAGTGCATGCTTGAAGCTGCATGCATGTGTCAAGGTGTGTGTGAATACTTCGCCAAGTATCGCCTGTTAATGGATGGACTTTAGTTCAGTCCGAAAGTTGGTATTGCAGGGCGTGTGCAGTGTTTGATCTTCCACAGTGCATGCTTGAAGCTGCATGATGTGTCAAAGGTGTGTGTGAATACTTCGAAGTATCACCCGTTGACGGATGGACTTTAGTTCAGTCCGAAAGTTAGTATTGCAGGGCGTGTGCAGTGTTTGATCTTCCACAGTGCATGCTTGAAGCTGCATGATGTGTCAAAGGTGTGTGTGAATACTTCGAAGTATCACCCGTTGACGGATGGACTTTAGTTCAGTCCGAAAGTTAGTATTGCAGGGCGTGTGCAGTGTTTGATCTTCCACAGTGCATGCTTGAAGCTGCATGATGTGTCAAAGGTGTGTGTGAATACTTCGAAGTATCACCCGTTGACGGATGGACTTTAGTTCAGTCCGAAAGTTAGTATTGCAGGGCGTGTGCAGTGTTTGTTCTTCCACAGTGCATGCTTGAAGCTGCATGATGTGTCAAAGGTGTGTGTGAATACTTCGAAGTATCACCCGTTGACGGATGGACTTTAGTTCAGTCCGAAAGTTAGTATTGCAGGGCGTGTGCAGTGTTTGTTCTTCCACAGTGCATGCTTGAAGCTGCATGTGTCAAAGGTAGCTCGGCCCGGTTACAGTTACATACTCTTGATTGTGGCCTCCTACTACAGGCTGCAGTAGTGACACATGACACGTGACATTCACTGAAAGACCGTGGACAACGCCGCCCTTCTTGTGCATCTTTCCGTGAACCTCCAGAGGTCATGACAAGCCGGTAAAGAGGGCTGAGTGTTCTTTCTCTTTCCTTTCTTTATGGTGTGCAGGATGACTATCTGGATTGTTACGGAGACCCAGCAGTGACGGGGAAGATCGGTACACACATTCAGGACAACAAATGCAGCTGGCTGTTTGTGCAGGCCTTGGACAGGGTCACTGACAAACAGAAGAAGCTTCTGGAGGTAAGCAGCTAGAGGAGCAGTACTGGCACCAGCATACCAACCAGAGTATTCATTGTAGCAAACACAGTAGATCTCTGCTAAAACGTACCACACATATGGGCATCACAGGATAGTGCAGTTAATATCCGTGGTGCTTCTTATCCTAACATACTTCTGTGTGGATCAATACCTCGTGCTCCGGACAACCAAGTCTGTACTGTGACGAGAACTTAAAAGCTCTAATAGTCAGGGGCCCTGTTAAGCTTTATTTTTACCTAGGTCATCATGTATGCTATTCAAGCTGCGTCTTTGCAATGCGGTCAGCGGGTTCATGTCTTTTTTGCAATGACTTGGT